GGAACTCACCCAGCTGGCTGGCACAGCCCCAAACACTGTCAGAACTGTGGAGCCAATGGCGTGGGATCTGCCCCACCAGTTCTGGTGCATGGTCAGGCCTCTCTGGCCTCCCCAGGCCACCACCTCTCCACCCCTCTCCAAAGTCTGTTCTGATTCTTATCACCTCATGCTCTCTGAAGGGGGTCAGTGAGTTCCTTGTTACGGGAGGGTGTGAGCGAGGGCTGGAGGCCTGCGCACCACAGATCTCAGCAGTGCCAGGTAGACACTGGGCCTAGATCCTCCTGCGGTGGCCCCAGGCTGGAGAGGTGGGAGGAGAAATGTGGGAGGCAGGGAGTTTAGGATGACTTCACCCAAGAGGTGAGGCCCAGAACCACCAGCCAGCTCTGTTTTCTTTGTTTTCACCTTTCCCAAAAGGAAGTGAGGAAACATCTCCCACAAACAATGCCCTGCCTGTCCGCTGCCAGGCAGTGTTTGCTCAGTGAGCGCAGGCCTCCCAGGCATGCAGAGAATGCAGAAGGCCCAGCTTGGAATAATCTAGGCGCATCTCCCCCACTCACATACCTACACCCCGGCTCTGGCTCAGCAGCTCCCAAGGCACAGGACACCCTGCTGCACTTGGGCTACCCCCATCCCACCCCAGGACCCGTGGCCACCCCTTCCCAATCACCAGAAAAGGCTAGTGGGAAGGGCAGGCTCCCTTCCTGCTACACGCAGGAAACTTGCGCGCTGCAGTGGCCCAGGCACAGAGCAGGGCCCAGGCCCAGCATAAGCTTCAGACGTAGGAGGGATGCCCAAGGGGTCAGACATGACAAAGCATAGAGGCCCAGGCATGGGGATGGGGGCCCTGACCCCCATGCAGGGGCCTTTACTGCCTTGTTCCACCAAGGCTCATCATATCCACTTTTCACAGCTAATTCCTCTCAGAGACTGGAATTTCAACTCCTGCTTCAGCTTGGCGCTTTCCAGAGCCCTGCAGACATCTCTGGGAAGGGCCAGGTAACCCCCAGGATCTGCTGTTTGGGGGTCACGTTCAGTTAGGGTTCTTATTTCCCATCAGCCTTTGGTCCCAATCACATCCCGGCCTGTCTGGTTCCCGCCGTGGAAGTTCACTCTGAGTTTCCTTCGGCAGTTTTCAGTTCCTGAGGGGGTGAGGGGCCGCCCGATGGTCCCCCATCCTTGCATTGATCTCACGGTCTCCCCTGCCTCTGGCCTTCTAGTTCCGCTCCAGAGTGGGGGTGCAGAGCGTGGCCAGGCACCCCAGGGCAGGTGAATGGCTCTTGCAGCTTCCCTGAGGAGCCCCAGACACTGCCGGTGAAGTCGTTCTTGGAGCTGTGGGGTTCCGGGAGTGGGGTCCTTGGGTTAACTCTGGGAAAAGTTTAACCAGCGTGCTGGTGCGTTTCCCCGCGACACGGAGGCCCAAGTTATGTCCAAAGGGCAGACTGACCATGAGAAAGGGAGCGGAGCAGAAAGGACGCCTGCACAGACATGAGCGGGCGGGAAGGGCTGCCCCGAGGGGGACAGGTGTGCGAAAAGAGAGGCCTGCGAGGTCACAGGCGGGCAGCCTTGGCGGGAGCTGCCTCTGCTGCTTTGCGAAGGGAGAAGGCCGGTGAAGGAGCACCTCAGCCCGCCCCAGGGGCAGGAAGGCTGCTGCCCCGCCAAGGGAGAAAGTCGGAGGTGAGGAGCCGCGGCCTAGGCGCAGGCCGGGGGGACTGCCGCCCCTCGCCGGTGCAGAAATTGCCTGGATATCCTCTTCTCTTTGGGAGAGGTCGGTCCTTTGTGGAGGGGGTCATTTTTGTTGATTTGGGGTAACTTTGTAGAATTTGAAAAGGAAGAGAGATTGTACAACGGTCCTCAATCTCTATATCCCCACCCCCTGTCTGCACGCGGTCTGACACCTGCTCGGGTCTGGCCCAAGGACTTGTCATTTCTATAGCTAGTTTAACGGCTGCGTTAGTCCCTTCTGCCCCCACCTCCAGCGCCCAGCACTGCGCGAGCCAGGTTTCCGGTCTTGTGGTGCCTCCTTTCCAAGTTTTCTATTCCTCCATCACCTCCAGGGGCAATACCCGGAGAGCGAATGTGAGGAGGCGCACGCCCTCCGTGCCTGCCAGCGCAGGGCTGGCCGAGGTTGAGCCGAGGCGCCAGGGAGAAGGGCTGAGGAGCACAGTGCCTCCACAAGCACTCGGAGGCAGGCACGGGGGCTCGGTTCCCAGCTGACCCCAAAAAGAGAGGGCCGCTGCCAACACAGGCAAAATGTCATGTAAGTCAGCCTCTTGGAGGCTTGCGTGGGGTAAAGTTTTGGGAGGGGTGAGGGTGGTTTTGATACCTGTTAACACAAAGGGAAGACTGGGGCTCTGGTGGGAAGGCCGAGCTGCAGAGATGGGAGTTAGGACTGGGGGTGAGTGGGAGGGGCGAGCAGGGCGGGCAGGGGGCCCTGACACTTTCCAGAAGCTGATTCTGCTTATTGTACCCGCCAAGCCAAGGGCACCACCCAACTCTCTTTCCTGCCAACTCAGGCTCCCGAGTCTGAGAAGCCTGCAGAAGCTCTCCGGCCAAGGACATCCTGCCATGGGGTCTGTCAGGGAGTAAAAGAAATCATCCTGTACCTCTCCCATTCTAGGCTGGCCAAAAGCCACACACGCATCAGATTGATAAGATAAAAAGCCAACGAGAAGCGTAATAGCATGTGTGCCTCTTGTCTCGTGGGAGAGACTCCGCACCACTGAGGCTTCAGACAGGCTCTTAAATAGTGAAGGGGGTGTGGGGGGGGGTGGGTGGGAAGGAGAGGGAAGGTCTGTTAGGGAGTTGAGGAGGGAGGACGCAGCAAATAAACGTGCTGCCTTGCCACTGAAAGGAGATCAGGGCACAGGGTCTTTCCTGAACACACCCTTAGGGAGAGTTGCCTTGTACATGTCTTACAAAAGCATGGGCCTCCCCTGGTGGCGCAGCAGTGGAGCGCTGGGCCGTGAAGCTGCCCGCAGCCTCTGCAGCACTGATTTGATCCTCAGCGGCCGGTCGAGGGTCCCACATGGCGCGCAGACCTCTCCCGCGGCCCTCTGCTCCCCTCAGCAGTGCACTTCGTCAGTCTGCCTGTTCTGTTCCCCGCTCTGGCTCTGGTGGATTCTCTCCCCCTCCCGCGCTTCTGACTGTACCCAGTGCTTGTATAAATAAATAAATCTTTAAAAAAAGCAGCCTGCGCTCGGCCTCAGCGCTCTTCCCAAGGTGTAAAGCTTTTGCCAGAAAGACACATTTTGGGGTGGCAGATTTTCACTGTCCTACAGTTCCCCTCATCAGAGGCTTAGCCTGGGCTGGGGGATCCTGGAGGACGGACAGGGGGAAACTGAGAAGGATGAGCTCTGTTGTCCTCTTCTTCCCGCTAACCAGAGCACTGGAGTAAGGGCAGGGGGGTGGGGTGGGGTGGGGGGGTGGAGGGGAGGCATGTGGGCCCCCAAACGTTGCTTCCGATGGGAAGTCTTCCTTGACTTCCCCTCCGCATCCCAGCTAACAGTCGCGTCAGCCTCGGGAAGAGGCTCCCAACAGGTATGGTTTAGCGTTAGCACGCACCTGAAGGGTAACCTGGGGTCCCAAACTTGCACACTCGGAAGGGGCCACGCACACAAAGACAGGGGAGACTCTTAAGTGTAAAGGAACTTAATAGAATTAATGTACATGGAGTGAGAAGAGGAAAAGAAAGAACATTCTGAATGAAACACCCCAAGTTCCCCATGCCCTCGCGGATAAAAGCCCAGCCGAAATGGGTTGGCCCCAAGCAGGGACACTGAGGCCCGGAAGCCTGCCGCAGTCTAAGGCGCCTACTGGCGGGGACCCACGGGAGAGGGGCAGAGTGGCCAGGCAAGTCTGGGAGGAAAGGCGCAAACTCCAAATACAGATCAAGTAACAGCTGCCATTGCCAGCCTCCCCACAGCACTCTCCTCCCAGTGTCGCCTCCAAGTCCCCCAAAGCCCTGGTGCAAGTCCAAAGCAAAGTCGCAAACGTGCCCGTTCTGCACATCCCCCCCTGAGGCCTCATGCCCTCGGTGTTGCATCACCTGACCACGCAGCTAGCCCAGCAGTCCCAGGGGGCTACACGCAAGTGGGGGTGGGGATCGTGGTACCTTCCCCTTTTATGGGGATGCCTGTAGGAACCCCAATCAGACTTGACACTGTGGAGGGTGTCCCCTGTCCTTCACTTTCCCTCTCAAACGGGCCCTGGGGAGCCCCACAGAAGACCTTGAGGCAATCTCCCTCCCCCCACCTCTCTGCCCTCCCAGTACCCTTTCCCCCCACCCCCCCAAGTCTGCCTCCCTGGCGCTGAAGACACCGCTGGGGAAGGACAGGATCCATGAGGTCCAGAAAGTGGCCAGAAGGCCGGGCAGGTGGCTGTGTCCAGAGGGCCCAGGCAGCCTGCAGTGTGTGCCTGCAGGTGTCTGCTGGGGCTGGGGTAGGGCAGGCCAGGCCGGGGAAGGCCCTCAGGGCTTGTGTCCGGGTGCAAGTCCCCCTCCCCTAGGATGCGTGTCTGAAACAACAAAGCCAATTCACTAAGCGCAAAAAAACCAACTGAAAAAAACTCTTTACAAGAAAGAACAGAATCCTGAGGCGATCTTATCTAAGGTGGAGAAAGCACATGTTCAGCTATTGGCTAACTTTCAGCCTCGGCGGTTTAGGGATTGGTTGACTTTCAGAAGCCAAATGGCCAGGGAGTAAGGCTGTTGCTGATCGGCCACTGTCGGAAGCAGGCCTAGAAATGAGCGCACTGCTATTTTTTATTTTTAATGGATATGTCAAATTTTATTTAAAAAAAAAAAAAAGTGATCAGGTGGCCATAACCTTTGCTGGTCACTCATACCTTCCACATCCCAAATCCTTTCTTCCCTTACAAGTTTGAATAAACCAAAAGTTGTTGTACTAAAGGGTCAGAAGCAACAATGGGGTAACACTATTCCTCAAACATAGGTTATGATTCAAGAAGAGATACAAATCTCAGCACCTCTTTCATTTAAAAAAGAGAATATTGGCTAAGAAAATTCTCATAGCTGCCTAGGAAGTTCTTAATCCTTCCACACAGATGCCTTCATCCATAAGCCATTTGGACTAAAACCGGAGTCCATTATTCATTCCCTCTCCGGCTCTTCTTGTGACTTTTCTTAGATCTTTCAGGAGACTTTGAGTGGCTCCTATGTCTGTGACTACGATGATGACCTGGTGATTTGGAACGGGATCTGTGCCGTCTGTCTCGGGACCTACTGCGATGTCGTCTTGGACTTTTGCTCCGATGCCTTTCTCGGCGAGGGGAGGGGCTCCTCCTCTTGGGAGACCGACTCCCCCTTCTTGGAGACCGGCTCCTACTCCTCCTATAGCGCAGTGTGGGAGAGCGCTGGGGTTTGTCTAAGTCTCGGTAGCTTCGGTGGCGGTGATCAGGTGATGGTACTCGCTCCAGCTTTTCATCCTCCTCCTCCTCTTCTTCACTGGACTCCATGTCATCCATGTCTTCTTCTAGAGCACTAACCCGTGGCTCCAGTTGCTCGGCTTCCTCTAGCACATAGCGTTTCTGCAGCCATGGGAGAATGATATCACAGACTCTCTCACTGTGCAGCAGTTCATCAATAAACTCGTTTACATTCATCGGTTCAAATTCCCCATTACGGTTCTGGCTCTTGATTTTTCTGTAGTCGTTATACAGAGGCTCCAAGTACTTGTAGCAATCCATTGCAGTGCCTGTCAGCCTCATGTACAGTGCTCCCAACATGCGGACATACTTGAAGTCTTCATTTTTGATCAACTCTACAATGATGTCCTTCTCTGGTTGAATCTGAAGCATCTTCAAGGTCAAACATAAAAAGGGAGTTGGCTTTATGTTGCCACCATAGACGCCACCCACAAACCTTAACGCCATGGCTTTATCTACTACAAGTTCAGCTGTAAGCCCAAAGCACTCTTCTTTCCAGTATTTGGACTCATAAATTCGGGTTCGAATGATCTTCTCCACCAGATATTGAGGGTTGGTGCCGTGGATGCTATGCGCATCCTTCACCGTGCGGTTCGCCATTTTAGAATGCTTTCACTTCTATTTCCGGCGGGTCCTTTAATACGTCACATCCGGATTTAACAAAAAAAAAAAAAAAAAAAAAAAAAAGGAGATGGGATAAACTAAACAGCTTAAGCGACCATCTTGAAACCGGAAACTCGCTTATTTTTTTTTTTAAAAGATTTATTTATTTATGCATACAAGAACTGGGGTACAGGCCAGAGGTGTGGGGGGTAAGAAGATTCACCAGAGACAGAGTGGGGAGCAGAACAGGCAGACTGACGAAATACACTTGTTGTAGAGCAACCCCGATACAAAACGGGGTGCCTGACTGTGGGTCCTCACCCGCGCGCTTAAAAGGACTTATCAATGCTCTACTGCAGGCACACGTGAAAGGTTCATAAAAGGTTTATTTACAAGGGAAGGGGAAATGAGGAAATGTACAGCTCAGGGAGAAAAGTGGGAGACAAAGTTTTAAATGCGTCCTACCCGATCCGCCGATCAGGAATCCCAAAATGGCGCTCTGAGAGCTGGCCGCCAGCCAGGAGCGGTGAAGCCAGGAGGCGAGCGATCCCGAGCCAGAGAGCCTAAGGCCCACGTGTTTGGTTTTTTATATCCAACCTGGCTGCCCAACTCCACCCTCAGGTCCCAGCCACCCTCCCTTGGTGGTGACGGGATTTGTCTTTCCCAGAGTCTTGATGGCTTTAGTCTGGAGTGGGGGTGGGGTCCACAAAGCCTGTATGGGATTAGCTCAGGACATCACTTCCCCCTAACACACTGCTGAGGGGAGCAGCGGGCGAGACAGGAGAGGTCTGCTGCGCATGTGGGTAGCGTCCTGGCCGGGGATCGAACTCATGTTGCATTGGCTGCAGACAGTTTCATAGGTTGCGTCTTAAGCCCTTGCACCACCAGGGAGGCCCTGAGGCCACCGCTGATTGGCTGGAGATCAGGGTCTAGTCAAGCCGTCAGTGATTACTGGGGCAGGTTTACGATGATGGGTTTGTAGTGAGTCGTTCATGGCATGGAACTTGGGCCCTGCACGCTTCTCCTTCCTTGAATTTAGAGACTAGAAGTGTTTTATTTTCGCCTTTCCCCCCACTCCTCGCTTTTCCTCTTTCTGACCGGCTGAGCCCTGGTCATCTGTCCCAAACTTTGTCCAGAAGTTAGTGTCTGTCCCTGCCTGGCCATTCTTTCCTCGTCAGCCCTTTGTGCGGTGTCCCAAATGGAGACCAGAGCTCTAGAAGACAGGCCAGGGCCCTTCCCTTCCGGGGCTGGCCACACCCTCCTCAGGGTGACTGAGCCCTGAGACCCCGTAGTGTGTTCTAGTGTTCGCGGAGGTGCTGGCCCATTCTACCTCCCAGGCCTCCAGGGGAGCAGAGGAAACGTGGTGGCTGTGGGTCTTAGCTCCACTAGGGACGGCATCGAGGGGGCCCAGATTCTGCTGGGCAAAGACTCAGCTGAGGGTGGAGACAAGTGAGGATCCTGGGGCCTTCTTGGGGAATCCAGTGCCACCTGTTGCATACTCAGAGAACCACTGCTCCGACTCAGCTTCTGGACTTTGTTGTGGGTTCCAGAGCAAGGAGACCGCCACTAAAGACTGCAAAGCCCTGTGGGTGCTGCTGTGGCGCCTCAGCCAGCGCAGGGAGCCAGGTGAGCACCCATGGCTGGTTTCCCACCGTGTTCACAGACCCTGACTTATACTAAAGATGGGACCTAGACATCCAGCAGAGTGGAAGCTGCCGGTCTTCAACGCCCAGCTGGATGGATAACAGTTTGTAAGGGGAGGGTGTGATGGATTTGACAAAACTGGTGTAAATCTTAGCCTTCTTTTCTTTGCTCCTGTAAAGCCCAGGCTCAGTGCTCGCCAGTCCCCTTCCCGCATATACAAGCGTGTGGACTGATCGCTGCTCCCCATTCCCATGACACAGCAGGACCCCCCCAGTGCTCACCCTGACCCCACCCCACCCCTCCTGGATGGCTGAGGATGTACTCATGTTATAGATTAGCTGGCTTTAGTTAACTGCTCTAGAAATGGTAAAATAACTTTGGGGGGAAGGTACATTCATTTGGGTTTTAGGTCAGGAAAGCAAATTTGTATTTGTCTTTGGTCTGGGTTGGCTTTGGCCTTGGACCACGGGTCAGGAGAGCAAGAGGGTAGGGAGGAATGTTTTGGCTCCAGAGCAAGAGAAATGAGGTGAAGCCCAGCTCTGGCCAACACCATGTAGGGAACTGCCCTGGACCTTCAACCGCCGAGCTGCCTATTTCCACACACATGAGCACCCGCAGTGGCTAGGCATGGTGCAGGCCTTCGTAGACTCCCCCGAAACCCTCAAGGGGTTCAGAGTCCAGTGGGGCATAGATAGGTGAGTAGGAGCTCATGGTGTAGAACTGTCAGGGCTATTGAGGGGGTGAATGTGGGCCTGTGGGAGCCCAGCTGAGGTCCCAGGCTCAGCTCAGGATGAGGGATGAGGGATGGCATCGGATGTCGTGGAGCAGAACCAGCTACCTAATTGGTATGGCCGGTGCAAAATGGAAATACAGAGTCCCTTGTTCAAATCTCAGGGTGGCAATAGCAAAGCATTACACCCTGAAGTGGCCCTGCTTGAAAGAGGAAACACAGGAGCTGAGTGTGAAGGATACATGTGAGTGAGGCAGGCCCGATGCACACGGACACAACGCCTTTTGGAATTCCCAAAGCCTCCTTTCCTTACTTCTTTCTTTCTTTCTTTTTTTTTTTTTTAAATAACAGGTCAAACTCCAGGCTTTCTGAATTACAATCAACAATTTTTTTTTCTTAAAGATTTATTTTTATTTATTTATACAAGCACTGGGTACAGTCAGAAGCGCGGGAGGGTGAGAGAATTCACCAGAACCAGAGCGGGGAGCAGAGCAGGCAGAAGGACCGAAGTACACTGCTGAGGGGAGCAGCGGGCGGCAGGAGAGGTCTGCGCGCCATGTGGGACCCTCCTCCGGTGGCCGGGGAGCAGCTGGGGATCGAACCGGCGCTGCAGAGGCTGCAGAGGCTGCGGGCAGCTTCACAACCCAGCGCTCAACCGCTGTGCCACCGGGGAGGCCCTCCTTTCCTTACTTCTATTCAATAGATCTTAATACCTTCCCACCGGCTGATGCAGCCCCATAAAGGTTTCCCAGGCTTCAGCAATCCGTGAGCTGTCCTTTCTTGGCAGGGTGTGGGGCTGGGTGTAAGGAGACACAGTCACTTAAATCTGACATTATAGCGTTCCTAATCATTTGTAGTTAAAATGTCCTTTCCTAAGAAGTAAGTGTTGGGCCTCCCTGGTGGTGCAAGGGGTTAAGTCTCAGCACTACAAAGCTATCTGCAGCCTCTGAGCCCTGGCCAGGGAGCTACCCACATGGTACAGCAGACCTCTCCTGGCTCGCCCGCTGCTCCCCTCAGCAGTGTATTTCAGTCAGTCTGCCTGTTGTGCTCCCCGCTCTGTCTCTGGTGAATCTGTTATAGGACAGGGAGAGGGGCAGCCCAAACCCCGCAAACCTGCCTATTCTAAATGGGTTCTGCCATCCGCCGTATCAACACAAAACATATGAGACTTTAATGGGAAGGAACTTTAATAAAACTAGGAAACAATACAGGAAAGGCAAAGAGTCTAGTTTCTAAATGAAGCACCCAAAGTTACCCATCCCCTCGTGGGTAAAAGTCCATCCATGTGGGATCGGCCCACATCAAGGCCCCAAAGCCTGCCACAAGTCTAAAGCATCTTCCAGTGGGGACCCACAGAAAAGGGCCAGAAACAACCAGACAAGCCCGGAAGGAAAAGAGCAAAATCAACATCAAGATAAAAGCTGCCATGGTCACCTCCCCACGGGTGTCACCCACATCTGTGTCACCCAGTCCACGACCAAAAGACAAGCGCAGTTTCTTCACGTGTCTCTAGGCTCCATGCGACTCCTCCAGGTCTCCTGGCTCCATCCTGCTTCCTTCCTCAGTCTCTTCTGCTGCTTCTCCTCTTCCTGCTCAGCTCCACCCTCCCTTGGGTGGGGCAGGGAACCTCCCCCTCTCCTGGGGACCACCCTGTTACAAATCCTCTCATCCTCCACACCTCTGGCCTGTACCCCAGCTTTTTGTATGCATAAATAAAATAAATCTTAATAAAAAAGAAAGTTTTTTTTTTTATATATTTGGCAAATAAACACACAAAAGTGAAATGAGACGTTTAGGTTGGTTTCTCTAATGAAGCAAAAAAAAAAAAAAAAAAAACTGCTTTGTGAACTCCCCAAGTCTAGGCTCCACAGGTCCCCTTATCTTGATGTTATATGTTCTTGGAGGAGCCACAGAGACACCCTCCAGCCCTGTTGACAACTGAAGCAGGCAAGGAATGTGTATCTGTGCTCCAGAGACACCCACCTGGGGATGGAGGGTCCTCCCACTTTAGTTCCTCACTCTGCAGGGGGCCGGGGAGGGCCCAGCTCAGGCCAGAAGTTGGGAGGGCGGCTTTCAGACTTGGGGGAGATAAGAGCAGACAGAGAAGCTGAAGGCTCCCCTGATAACCCGCCAGGAAGCCAACATTGTACAAAACAGACAGATAAAGAGCAGACCGCCTCTCTCAAGGCCAAACAGTTTCAAAAGACACTCCTTGGGGTGGACACTGGGTAACTGGTAGAGAGATACCCTAGTGGGGAGCTAAGGCGAGTCTGGGCTGGCCATCTACAGTGGGACTGGGCTGTGGCTGGACAGCAGCTGGATACCTCCAGCCCGCTAGTTCTGGCCTCATCCCCCAAGGCCAAGTTTGGGTTCTCCTATCTCAGGCTTCCTGGGCGTCCTCTCTAAGTCTAAAACTGCTCTTATTTCTTTTTTTTTTTTTTTTACGGTGAGAAAATTTCTATTTAGAATTGGCCAGCTGGACTCGTTTAGAGGATCCCAATGTTGTTGGCAACCTCCAAAGCAGCATAGTCAGGAGCCAGTGAAACACCTGCCTCCTCTCCATCGGCCTGATTAGGGTGCTGGCCTTGGCCACATAGTGTCATAGATGTGTCCTTTGCAGATCTGGCACTTGTGGGCCTCGACAC